TATTGAATGCGATTTGAGGACAGCTGATGTGAGCGTAGAAGATGTGGGAGATCGTGTCAAGTGGAATCTTAGGATAAGGGTGGCCGACCCCAAGTAGTTGGGATTAAGGCAAAGAAAAAGAAAAATATTACCAGATATTCCGGTGGCAATTGACATAATATTATTGTTGTTTGGGCATGTACAATTTAGCGTTTAGTTGGGTTTAAACAATATAGCGTCAAATCAATTACCTACTCTATCGGTTGTATATTAATATACACTACACTTTAATGATACAATAAATAAATAAACTCACACATACACACATATGCATTTATAACATTGTGTCTAATGTAAGTATAACATGATAAAAAGTAACCGTAAAATGAAAAAAATGGAANATAACATGATAAAAAGTAACGGTAAAATGAAAAAAACGGAAAATAAATTTTAGTACTCATATTAAATGTAATGTAACTCAAAAATATTTGTTTAAATGAAAAAATATAACAAAATTTTAGCTTCGATGTGAAAATGAGAAGGTATTAATTTTACCATGATGTGTTTATTTTTTTTTTTTCTGTCACTACTTTTTCTCAGCTCTCATTGGACCGATTTATTTTAACAATACGTCAAAAGATCACAAATCGTATCTAGTTAAAGACATTACCCTTAAAAATTGAAAAAAATTCCCTCGTTCTCCGCAAATGGGGGAAATATCCAAGAAAATTACAAATTTAAAAATCGATAAATTTTGTCATTTTTCTCACTTTTTTTTCTTAAAACTTCCATCGCTTTTTCAAAAATAATCAAATCAACATAATTTTTTTTTATACTAAAACCTTAGATATTTTCCTTTCATTTGATATCATTTTTTTGAAAATTTAACACTTAACCTGCTCATTGGGGGGAATTTAAAATAGCAACTTTTTAACAAAAACTAAATTTTTCAACCGAACTTTTGAAAGTGTTCCGGAAATACTGCGTCCTTTAAACATATATCAAATTAAAGCTTATGTCGTGTACTATAAAATTAAAAAAAAAAATTTGTCCCGACGATATGTAAATAATATTTTTTAATAATATTAAAACTTAGAAGTGATAGAAAAAGTCTAATTGCACATTTGAAAACATCGCGAAAAGTTAATTTAGAATAGTATAGTTTTGTTTCTGATGAAAGTTCCATGTAGTCCAGTGTATAAAACTTATAACTTTGTTAACTGTTATAACTTTATCAAAAATGACCAAATCAGTATAGAATTTTTTTATTTAGATGCATGTCTTTACTTATCATTTGGTTTTTTTTTATAAATCTAACCCTTTACCTGCCCACAAGAGAGATTCAAAATGATAATTTTTTTTTTTAGTTAAAGTAAATCATTAAAATTAAGTTCTGGATATTATGAATCTTTTCAAACACCAAAAGTTACTAGGAAATTATTACTATTACTTCTATTTAAGTTATCTATTACGATAAAAATGCAAAAAAATATTGAGCTTTTCTGATAAATTTACAATAAATAGTAATTATAAAACATTCTAACTGCATATTAATTTTAACGATACAATTTTTTTAATTCTCATAAAATTTTCTATTTAATGTCAATTTCAAACTTGCCAATTGAGCTAAAAGTTATGGTAAAATAAATTATTTTTTTTTATTATAAACATTTACTGTTTGTTACTATAAAAAAATGCACTGGACTACAAGGAACATTTATCAGAAGCAAAAATATACTTTTCTAAATCAACTTTTCGCGTTGTTTTCAAATCTGCAATTAGACTTTTTCTATCACTTCTAATTTTTATATTATTACTAATTACATAAAAATAATAATTAAAAGAAAAAAAAAATTGTTTTCAAATTATTACTGATTTGATTTTTAATATGTTAAAAATAATCAGTCCAAATTTTCATTTATAATCTATTTTATTGGTTCTTTAAAGTTGATGAAAAATTTTTGATTAAGATTTATGAAAGTTTATAGTAAAAAAATTAAATATATATATTCCCATAACTTTTAGCTCAATTACAAGTTTAAAATTGACATCTAGGCCAGTCAACAAAGGAAAAATTGCGGAAAAAATTTCCAACCAAATTTTGTTTTTTTAAAAGTTGAATTAAAATATGTATAATGACATACTAATAGTCCTCAAGATTGGAATTGAGCTTTTTTTTTANCATACTAATTAGAATTGAGCTTTTTTTTACAGCCTCGCAAAAGTTCAAAAATATGAGCTTTTTTAATTTTTTCAAAAAATATTTAACTAACAAAAAAGTTTCGTACAAAAGTTGTTTAAAAGACAATTCTAAACAAAAAAAACCCAGCACAGTGGGGACGTTGCATAGTTGGGTTCAGTATAGATTTAATCTGACAGTGATTAAAATCACTATCATCAGAAACGCTTCGATGCAAATCAGTAGATAGTGTTTAATTTAGAGAAATTGGTGAAATATTTTAAAAGCAACATGAACTCTTATTTCTTTAATTATATCCTGATTAGTAGTTCTTTGATTTTAAAATNTATTAATACCCTGATTAAGATAAAGTATGTCGAATGAAAAAGGGTTTATTAAAAAATATTATTTCTCATAAAAAAATTGTGTTGATTCGTACACTTTTCAATGAGTTATAGCATTATAAAGTTAAAAATGTAACCAACCCAACCCAACATCAACTCCTATTTCCTTAATTATATCCAGATTAGTAATTCGTTTAATTATATATTATATAATTTTTATAATTAATTATTTTCAAATTATTATCGATTTTTAATATGTTAAAAGTAATCATTTTGAACCAACTTCTTTTTGTCCTTTAAAGTGAAAGTTTTAATAAAAAAAAAATGAATTTATTACCATAACTTTTAACTCAACTTGCAAGTTTGAAATAGATATTATTAAATAGAAAAAAATGAAATTGGTAGATCATTTCAAAAACAACAATATCACTTATTCCCTTAATTTTACCCCGATTTATAATTATAATATATGAACACATAATAATTATAGTAATTAAATTGAGTATGAAAGTGGTATTCAATAATATAATATTGTAATTTTTACGGAAATACTATAAAAATAAAAAGGAGTTGTATAATCATATACTTTTAATGCGTATACAAATTAAAGGAATTGATGCAATACTTTTTAATAAAAAAATTTTGTTACTTATGAATAAATACACTAAACAAAAGGAACTTTCATCAGAAAAAAAATATACTTTTCTAAATAAACTTTTCGTGATGTTTTCAAATGTGCAATTAAACTTTTTCTATTACTTCTAAGTTTTAATATTATTACTTATTATTAAAAAATAAGTATTTACATATAAAAAAAAATAATTAAGAACAAAAAAAATTGTATTAAATTAATACTGATTTTGATTCTTGATATGTTAAAGGTAATCATTTTGAACCTACTTTTTATTGTCTTTTAAAGTGAAAGTTTTAATGAAAAATACCTTCTCAGCTTCGCATCGAAGCTAAAAAATGAATTTGTTACCATAACTTATAGTTCAACTTGCAAGTTTGAAATTGACATTATTAAATTGAAAAAAATGAAATTTTTAAGATTAATATGCAATCTGGAAATTTTATAATTACTANAAAAATGAAATTTTTAAGATTAATATGCAATCAGGAAATTTTATAATTACTTTTATTGTAAATTTATCATAAAACTCAATATTTTTTTTTCTTTTTTATCGTAATAGATAACTTAAATAGAAGTAATAGTAATAATTTCCTAGTAACTTTTGGTGTTTGAAATGATTCTGCAATTGAAATATTCAGAACTTAATTAATTTTAATGATTTACTTTAACTAAATGAACCAATCAAACCAAAGTTGTTAAAAAGATTTACTCAATTGAGCGTATAATACAATTNAAGTTGTTAAAAAGATTTACTCAATTGAGCGTATTATAAAATATGATTATAATTGTAAAAATCCATCGTTAAATTCAGGTGAAACTTAAAATCAATTTTTCTTTAAATTTATGATTTATATAGCAACATATTACAAAAAATTTTGGAATATTATAGACTGATAGTAGCACACACAAATTGAGTTAAAAAATGAATAAATTACAAAGTAAAATTATTTACTTTTGTAGTTGAATACTTTTATCATATTAAATCTAATTCGACAATAAATACTTAAAGAATATTAGAAATTAATGATTTTAATTGTTTGTATGAAAAATCTGGTTATGCTACTTTTTATTTGAATAAAGAATATTTTTTCGATTTTTAAGAGTAATAACTTAAACTAAATACGAATTGTAATCATTTGACCTATTGTTGAAAAAAGTAGGTCGAGTGAGGGTTGGCAAAATAAATCATAGCCACAAAAAAAACTACATAGCAAAATAATATTAACATTAATAAAAAATTTCTTCTCACTAAGGGAGACTATAGTGATAGGAACCTTTATATTTATTGAAGTTATTGAATCTAAATGAGATAAATATCAAATGATTTGAAAATTTTATTCTAACTCAAAAAAAAATGCAAAATATTTATTGCCTCTGACGGATTTGAACCTCGCACCTATACGTGATAGATACAAGTGTTACCGAATGGGCAACTGTTCGTTGCTTACGTCACGTGAAAAAAATAGCTATTTAAACTCCAATTAAAAAATTACTTTATCGACTTTAAAAAAGTAAAAAAATTTTAATAAGTTTAATTTCTTATGTCTTATGAACTTTATTCTATGTCAATTAAATTATATAATATTCATGAAAGTCAATGTATTCCCCTAATAAGATATTTTAAAATAAAATAAAATACAAAATCCAGAATTTTAATAAAAAAATAGCATATTTTTGAATACGATAGCCATTTGCGCATAGAAGATAGGTCGTCGGGACAAATTTTTTTTTTTAATTTTATAGTACACGACATAAGCTTTAATTTGATATATGTTTAAAGGACGCAGTATTTCCGGAACACTTTCAAAAGTTCGGTTGAAAAATTTAGTTTTTGTTAAAAAGTTGCTATTTTAAATTCCCCCCAATGAGCAGGTTAAGTGTTAAATTTTCAAAAAAATGATATCAAATGAAAGGAAAATATCTAAGGTTTTAGTATAAAAAAAAATTATGTTGATTTGTTTATTTTTGAAAAAGTGATGGAAGTTTTAAGAAAAAAAAGTGAGAAAAATGACAAAATTTATCGATTTTTAAATTTGTAATTTTCTTGGATATTTCCCCCATTTGCGGAGAACGAGGGAATTTTTTTCAATTTTTAAGGGTAATGTCTTCAACTAGATACGATTTGTGATCTTTTGACGTATTGTTGAAATAAATCGGTCCAATGAGAGCTGAGAAAAAGTAGTGACAGAAAAAAAAAAAATAAACACATCATGGTAAAATTAATACCTTCTCATTTTCGCATCGAAGCTAAAAACTTATCTGGCCTTAATTGCCCTATAGATCTATTATAATAAATGACTATTCAAATTCATGGTTGATATAAATTTAAAATGTTTAAATTCCCTGGCTGAAATTCCATACCTTGCTGAAGTGATATAGGCATATTTGATTTATATGAATCGTAGACACAGCTAGGAGGGTTTAGCCCACTAAAAATGTAGAAAACTGTAGGTATTGTCATATAAAAATATTTTTACTGTGAGAAAAAAATTACATCAGCACCACAAAAATTCCCGTTCTAGTTACGCCTATGATGCAGCAGGCAGCATAGGTGTAAATCAGAATGGCAGAGGGACTTAGGTCTTTAAAAATTATATGTATATTTACACAAAAAAATTCATGGTCAAGGAAAAATAAGCCCCCTCCTCTTATAATTTTAATTTCATAAATTTACGCCTGATTTGGATTTGGCCGTTATTCTAATTTCATATTTTGGACCGGGCATGGTTGAACTTTAATTTAAAATAGACCAAGCTGGATCGGTTCAAACATTTGTATCATGCAATTTATAAAAAAAAAAGTCAAGTAAATTATTATTTTCTCTAAAAATAAATGAAAGAAACTTAAAAAATTTAAATTAAATTAATACAATTAAAGTATTTTCTGAATACTTCGTATTGAAATAATCTTGGTTAATTTTTATTCATTTGTACCAGGCCTAAAATTATACATATGTATTCGGGCCGCATTTTTAAGTACTGAACTACTTTTTGGTAGCAGGGTTGTGTGATTATATGAGAGAGCATAGTCTTAAAAATGTTGAAAATCAACTTAGACAAGTAAAAAAAATGGTAGGTTTAATCAACATTTAAAAATTTCAGGTATGATAACCAAATTTCCCTGACTTTTTTATATTTTTCAATATTCTAGACATGTGGCAACTAAGTTCTATTTTACAATCCTCCTAAAATCAACAAACACCTGTCCATAATGTTGCTAGTCCTGTATTATAATCTGCTAATTATTTGGAGTCTGATATTTTATTTGATAAATATTAAAAGAAATAAGGTATTAACAAGATCATTTATTAAAAAAATAAAGCTATAGAATGTATAAAAATAAATTACATTATATGCAAGTAAAATAATAATAACAACTTATAATACTATTATAAAGTAATTGGATTTTGTAAATTATATTTAACAAATAAATAATTAAGAAATCTTTTAGATGAAAAATTAACACTGAAATATTATTGCAGTGATTTAAAAAAATAAAGTAAATATTATGAAATACTAGTAGGAACTTTTAATATTAAATATTTTATTATTACTAAAATACCTTTAATACTCTAAACCAACATTTTTTAAATACATATATGTGTATAATTAGTTTTAAATTTAAGATTGTTTACTGTACATACTATATAAATAATTCAGGTATTTTTGTGCTCTAATTATAAATCATTAATTTTATAATATTGAGTATCTGATAAATATCACAAAAGAATTTTGTTATGTCAAGGTCTCATATATAAATTATAGCTAAGATTAATATTGTTATATAAAATGAAACAGTCAAAGTGATTTATAATTTGTTGTTAGAATTAATGTGTTGTATTAAAGAATATTTTTAAATTACATTAAATGATAAATTGTTTATTTTTAAAGTCTAACAAAGGTTTTTAAAATAAAAAGTAAAGTTGAAAAGTTTTAATGATAAAATTAAATTAAAGTTATCTTAAAAAAATAGCTTGGCTATTAATTCAAATATCTTTTAACATTTAACAATATTATAAATACATAGCTAATGAAAGACCAATAGCTCAACTAATAACATTAAGTTACACAATTTTAAATTAAGTATTGGAAAATTACAAAGAAAAAAATAACGAGTAATAATATTCATTATAGGTAATAACCATAATGAATGGTAAAAAAATTAGTAAAAATAAATTAACAATTTGAAAGTTATAAAAAATATTGTCATTATTGATTGCTAGAACTCAAAAAATACAGAATATTATATACATACATACAAATAAATAATGAAATTAAAAAAATATTACTATCAAAATTAATTAGCACAGCTATAAATAGAACATTTATTCTATTTATTGTTTATTTATCTACACTATACAAAATGCAATTTTTTAAAACATTATACAATTTTCAATTTATATATATATATATTTTAATATTAAAAACTGCCTATAAACCTCAATTTTTAATTTCTGAAATACAAAAATAAACATTGAATAATATTCAAAATACTAACAAACTTACTGACATACTCAGTAAATATTATATATATATATATAGCAGTCTATTTGTGTTATTTACAAAAAGAAAAATTAACTAGAAGATTCATCAAAATCTGAATATAAAATTTTCCAATTAAATCTTTTATTGATGGAATTGGTTAAGGGAGGTACAGGAGGCTCTATGAAAGACCAATCATTATTTCCATCTGTCATTAATGCAACTAAGCCACAGTATGGAATATGTTTTACCGTTTTAATAAAGTTGTGCTTAGAACGTGGTAACTTATGAAGCAATGATCTCGAAAGAGAGTCTAACGAACAAGCATGGGCAACTAATAGTAGATCACCAGCTACAAAATATTTAAAAATTATTCTTAATAAAAATAGGAAAATTAATTAGTCATAAACAATAGTTTACTTTTATTTTCAGTTGTCTTAATTAATGCTTGTACTACTGTATCACATCTCAAATAATATTGTTCTATTGTCTCTGACATATTTTCTATTAACAAAGATAGGGATATTATAGGTACATAATTTGAATTAATGTTGAATCCTGCAGTAATAAGCTCTTCATAAGTCATCCATTTTGGTAGTCCTGACCGGCTATACCAGCCTAACCATTCAAATAACCCAGGTTCAATACATATTGATACTTGTTTCTCAATATCTAAACCTAAAAATAAATAATAGTTTACATATCATATATACTAAAAAATATACGATTCAATATTATAAATCAAAATAAAAGTAATGTTTTAAGTATTTATGCATATTATTAATTTATATATATTAAAATTTATATTCATAATATTATATTTAAGTATATTAAAATTAATTTGAACTCACTCACTCCAAACACAAGATACTTATTAGAGAGGTATCAAATTTATTATTATGTGTTTAATTTAATTAATAATAGTCAGTTTTATAAAATAGAATGAAAATGTCACTTATTTCTATATTAGAAAATTGAAATCAAACATTAAAAGGATTAACAAATTTCACTTTTTACCAACAATATATTTTTATTGAATCAATCTATTTTGAAAACAAGTCATTTAAAATAATTTCTTACCAACTAGTATATTATGGCAAGTTTGAACACATCGTAATGATGGAGAACAATAAATGTGCTTGATATCTTTAGTTAAATTAGCAGCTTTCATTCCCCAACCTGTTAGTTTAGCTTGGTATTCACCAACACATGTAAGTGGTGTATCTGTTTGAAAAGAATTTGGATAGTCTCTTCTTTGAGGAACATCAGAAGGCATATTTAAATCTTTTCTAATATATTTTCCTTCAGAGTCAAAACTATATGGAATCCATGTTCCGAATGTAAAATCAATACGTTCACCATGTCGACAAATATACATTTTTCGAGGATTTCTACCTTTAGGAGAGTCTGGTTGAGAATTATTTTCAACAGGTACAAACATTGATTCTAAATTTTGTACTAATTTTTTGTCAGTTTTACTAGGATTAATATTTCTACTAGTCTCATTAGAATTGCTCTTTAAGAGAAAAGAACTATAAAAAAAAAATTAAATAAATAAAAATTAATTAATGGCTTTAAATTTAATACCAGTGTAAAGTCCATGTATCCGATTCAGCAGTTCGTTCAGTGTAACATAAAGGAAAATACCCTGAACAACCTGAAATTTTGAATTAATAGTAATTAAAAGTAATTTATATACTTGACAAGATCAAATATATAAATATTACCAGTTAACCAAGATATTCCTTCAGCCCAACCATCTATAGAACTTTCAGCTGACTCTTTTGAAACATAAATGTAGTCTCCAATTCGAAGTTCTAATTCATCTGTGGCTTGTGGAATATGAGCATAAATGACCTTATAAACCTTCAATTAAATGAATTAGTAATTATATTTGATATTATCTTATTTTAAATTTGAGACACTAATAAATACTAGAGTAATAATAGAATTATAAGTATAATTTAGGTGACGTTTTTATAATTATTGAATATAACTTAAATGAAAATTTTACAAAAATTAGAAGGTGGTGGCTTTTTTTCATATGTTAGGGAGTCAAAGATGGTTCTTGACTAGACAAATGATGGACAGTACGGATATTATTGCCAACTTGCATCAGAGACCACACACAATTAATTGAAAAATCACAAGAAAAATTTTGTCGGATCAAATCCCGGATCTTGTATGTCAAACATACATTTCTACTGATAGATACAGCTCATACATAATATATGCATATTAGGGTGGTCTAAAAGTGACAAAAAAAAAATTTTTTTTTTAAGTTATACTCCTACACTTGAAAATTGTTCTACCTGGTTTTATATACAATTCTCAAGAAAAAAAAACACTAAAAATTAATTTTTGAGCCATCCCAAGCTATTTGAAAATTTTTAACTTAAAAAAAAAATAAAATAATAATGAAAACTATTTTATGTATACGTTCTTATATTTTTTTATCAATAAGTCAAGCTATATTATATAAATCATTTTTAACATTTCTAATTTTACTTACTAAAGAATTAAAAAATTATATAAAAGTTGAATTGCTTTTTTTTAAAGTTTGTTTGCTGCAATCAGGGTAAATCTTCCGATGCTCAGAAACTACTTGTAAGAGAAACTGAAGTTGATCCTCATCATGAGTAATTTTGCGATTAAGGTCTTGAATCAATGAAACTCCTCTTTCTGCCACGTCATTGGTAACTCGAAGATTCTTAAAAACTTCCTCTGCTTTTAAGTAGCTTTTAGACTTTTAGTGTTACCTTCAGCAACAACAGGCCCTGATAACCGAATGTTTGTACGATTTCGATCTTCTTGGTCTAAAATTAATCATTCTGCATACGTTATAGCAAACTCGGCTATTATTCAAAGGATTACAGAGAATATACGACATGAACTAGTTAATTTTTGCCAAGAAATGCTTAAAATAAAACAAGTAAGAGATGATTATCGTGAGATGCTGGAATTATCAGTTATATTTCTTGGTGAAGAACCCACCAGAGGAATAAAATTTATGACTCCAGGTGCTACTAGTCATTCACGTTGGATGTCAAAAGTAATTTACTGTTTAAAAATATTTATGTTTAGTGGACAATTTCATCTAAGTACCAAAGAAAAAAGGGGCCTCGAGGAAATATGTGTTTTCATTGTAACCGTCCATTTAAAAAATTGGTTCACTGCAACTTTGGCGGCATGTGCTCCAAATAATGACTTGCAACTGATAAAGACCTTAATAAAATATGATAATCCACATATTTCAAAAGCCACTGTAAAAAAAATGATGGGTCATTTATGGTATTTGTCAGATGAGTTAGTTGGTCTTTGTCTGTTCGACAAAAATGTCCCTGTTGAAACCAAATGTAAGATAATTTACGCCATAAATAATAACCCCTCTCCAGAAGTTCCCAATGTAAGACCGAAAATTGACCAACACGATGTAGAAAATTTACAGCTTCATGATTTAGCTAACAAAAATACAATACAAATTTTCACAGAATTTGGTGTCGATGAATTTTTGAAAAATGACGTGGTAAACTGGACCGAGTCTAAAAGCTACTTAAAAGCAGAGGAAGTTTTTAAGAATCTTCGAGTTACCAATGACGTGGCAGAAAGAGGAGTTTCATTGATTCAAGACCTTAATCGCAAAATTACTCATGATGAGGATCAACTTCAGTTTCTCTTACAAGTAGTTTCTGAGCATCGGAAGATTTACCCTGATTGCAGCAAACAAACTTTAAAAAAAAGCAATTCAACTTTTATATAATTTTTTAATTCTTTAGTAAGTAAAATTAGAAATGTTAAAAATGATTTATATAATATAGCTTGACTTATTGATAAAAAAATATAAGAACGTATACATAAAATAGTTTTCATTATTATTTTATTTTTTTTTTAAGTTAAAAATTTTCAAATAGCTTGGGATGGCTCAAAAATTAATTTTTAGTGTTTTTTTTTCTTGAGAATTGTATATAAAACCAGGTAGAACAATTTTCAAGTGTAGGAGTATAACTTAAAAAAAAAATTTTTTTTTTGTCACTTTTAGACCACCCTAATATGCATATATTATGTATGAGCTGTATCTATCAGTAGAAATGTATGTTTGACATACAAGATCCGGGATTTGATCCGACAAAATTTTTCTTGTGATTTTTCAATTAATTGTGTGTGGTCTCTGATGCAAGTTGGCAATAATATCCGTACTGTCCATCATTTGTCTAGTCAAGAACCATCTTTGACTCCCTAACATATGAAAAAAAGCCACCACCTTCTAATTTTTGTAAAATTTTCATTTAAGTTATATTCAATAATTATAAAAACGTCACCTAAATTACACTTATAATTCTATTATTCTATTCACCCTAATTGCATATATATATTATTTATTAAATTATAACTTCGGCTGCTATGGACATTAGTTATATTCAGTGTAAATTTATATTTACTTAGTGATATTTACAATCTAAATAGAATGAATATATTGTTTTTTCTTGTTATAATTGTGTTTTTAAGAATTTTATTATTTTTGTGTTGTTTTCAGGATTTTGAACCTATCCACACATCTAAAATTGTTTTCATATGTATTGATAAGTTTGAGTTTTTATATTTTTCATCATGTTTATCATTTTATAAATATATGCTTAACATTAATTCTCACTGCATATTTTCAAACTGATGGTTCTTTTAATAAGGAGACAATGACTTAATTTTCGCATATCCTATGCAAAGTCACTGTATTAAAGTTTTACTATTTACTTCTCAATAGTCCTGTTTTCCAGTAGCATATTGAGCTTTTGATTTCATCAAGTAGTTGGTGTATATTAAAAATGCTGATCTCACCCACTCTATGTATTAAAATGCTTGAAACTTAACAAGTACTTATCCTAAGGTTGTTATTGACTCATCAAAATTTGTTGTAAGAAAAATTTTTTACATTATTAATAAAATAACAAAAAATATTCTTTTAATAATTCTTCTAAGAATGCAAAAATTTTAAAAAAATACATTAAAATTTTAATTATACCAAAGTTTATAAGAGTCAACTAAATCTGTTCAAATCTGTATATGTAAATCTATATTCTTCTAGATTTTCTTCAATTTATAGTCCAATACTTAAATTTAGGAACATTAATTTGTACAACTATAAATACCTGTTTATTTATTGCTCTAGATTCTCGGGAATATAGTTTAATTTCCCAAAAATTTGGTGATGAGGTATTGATTATAGACTTAATTAGCGATTTTAATGTTCCTTTATGATTAACATCAAATTGATAAGCTAGAGTTAAATGTAATGACTTGAGATGTGGGTCTAATTGTACTTTAACTGAAAGTTATATACATTATAAGAAATCAAGTATATCAGCATGTCCATTAAAATATTTTATTAATTTATGGGTAGAAAATTTCAAGTATTTTCTTACCAACTTCTGAGACACGTTCAGCAAACAACACAGCAATTTTTTTAAATATATCTGAGTTTTGATCATTAAGAAAAAGACCCATAAAATTTGAAGAGGCATAGGACTCCAAATTAAAATTGTTTATGGTCATTTGTTGAATAATTTCTTCCGTAAGAGTTTTTAAAATATTTACAATAGTGTCAGAAAATTCATCTGGTGCCTAAAAATATTTGTTTAGACAGAAATTAAAAAAATTAATTTAACTATATAATTGTACAATCATGAATCTTAATTACTTCAAAAAAAGATACTAATGTAATATGAGGTATGAAATTATGAGCCCCATTTCGACCACATTTGCTAGCTGATTCATCCCAAAAATATTGAAGTTCTTCCATTAAATGACCACTAGGACAAGCATATACAATGTATTCTCTGCATGAATTATAATCTAAAGTTGTGTCGTTAACATGGGCTAAAAGCCAATCTGCTGCTAATTGTACACCACGATTGCCAGTGGCAGCTAAAGCTTTTCTCCTAGATCCAAAAACAATTTAATTGTTAAAGATGTAAAAACAGTTTAAAAAATAGCACAACTTACGCTCTATTTTGAGGAAACCCCATTTGTAAGAGAATTTGAATAGGAGTCATCGCTTGTTTAGAAATATTTTCTGAAGATGATATACTTTTAGTCTTCCTAGGTGGAAGCAAAGCCATAGCTTTTGGCTATGTTTACATTGATTCTTGACATTAACTAATAAAATGAATGAAAATACTTGTAATAATTAATGTTATCAATGTAGCAATTGGCATTAAGACACAACAGCCACGAAAACTGTGACCAAACTAATCCTGAAGTAATTGACGATTTGCTCCTTATGGCTTTTAACATTCGTCGTATTTGTAGGCCGTTCTAGGTTACCTGTTGAAGTTGTAAATATTTGTATTTGTTATCATTTTATCATAGTATTTGTATTGATAATTGGTGAATGTCTTGTGTTATTAGCGGCTTTTCTGTTTTATAGTAAACTCATCTATTATTACTCCGTGTTGTTAAAGTTTATTTCTATTAGTGTTTTTATAATAATTAATTGTCAATTTGATTTAAAAAGTCTGTTATAAATTTAACAATCATGGCTCAAGGAATGGTATTTGAGGATATTTTTAATGTTAAAGATATGGATCCAAATGGAAAACAATTTGATCGAGGTAAATATTCTAAATAAAAGTAATGAATACATAATTTAATATAAAATACTTTAGTTAAAAACATAAATAGCTTATCACACATTTCAAAAAAATAAAAATAAAATATTAAATCCTTGATTGTATCTATTAAATTATGTGTGGCAAAACTATCCAACAAAATAGTTTAATTACAATATAACTAGAGTAATTTTTTGTATTTTATCCATTATTATCTTTATAAAAAATATATATTCTTATTCAAATCAAGCCTTAACATAATTATACAATACATATTTTTACATAATGATTGCTTTATGTTTTTTTATCAATAATTAGAGTATTTGAGATTTTTAACTATATGATTTAATTAACTATGGACAGCTTACTTTAGTTGAGATTACGTTTTGCTTTGAAGAGTAAGTAACTGAGTTTGATTTCATTATGCTGAGCTGTGTTTTTCATTCTATCTTCCCAAATCTATTATTTTAAAGAGAACCTTAAATATAAACAGAATAATAATAATCATTAAAAATGTATTTTTTTATTTCATTTATAATAAATGAAGTAACATGTGATTACATTAGTTTCATAATCACATTGTTTTCTACAACTCTTAAATCAATTAAGGTTTTCTAAAAAGTTATTTATTATTAGTTTATTAGTTTATTCTTTAAAACACATTCATTCTCATAATATTTATATTGTGAGAATGAATTAAATTTTAAAATTATTTAAAAATTAAATTAAAATTTAATTTTTAAAAGTTAAAATAAATATACAATGATAAAATAGTATAAAAAAATTAGACAATCAGTGATGCCATGTGAAATAATTGATATTTTTAAATACTGTTTGACAGTATTTTTATAATTAGTTAATAGTGAATAGTGTTAGAACATTATAAGCATTAACCGCATGTCGTCAAAAGTTAGTGTAATATATTATACTTAAATATAATATGATTAAATACTATTTAATTGTACATAATATCTACATTTTGAACCATAAACAATTTGAAATTATTAAAAAAAAATTATGAACTTGAACTTGAACTAAGACTAAGTTTGCTTTTAAAAAATGAACTAGATTATAAACTTAGTTTGACTTTATGATATTGAACTCGTTCAAGAACTATTTTTTAATTTATATGAACTTTCCAAAATCTACTATAGGATATTAACTTTATTTTACTCCTTATTATATAAATATAATTTTAATGAATTATAGTAAGATGAGTATTATCATAATGTATTTATTTTTATTTTTTCAATCATTAAGTTAGTTTACTTGTTATAGGAAATTTTAAATATTGAACTGGTGTATCTTGGGACATTGTTAAGTACAGTGGTATCTCACTTACCTTCTGTACATTTGTTTTAACCAAGCTTAAATCCCTATTAGAAGAGATCTGAAAATTTTTAATATCTAAAAAGAAGGCTTTAATTTTTTAAAAAGTTCTACAATTATTTAAAAAAAAAATATTTTAAACTTATTACTGATTTAAGACTGTTTGTGATGGATAAAACACAATTTGCCAAAAACTGGTTATTATACCAATAGTACTTATTAAAAAATAACATAGTTTGTTAAGAAAAATTAATCAATCAACATGTGCTTTTGGTAGTTTTTCTGGCGTTTAAAGTAATTTATTTTTATTACTTTTTATTTATAATATTTCAGTTATAAAAATTGTCATTTACTTTTTAAATTTTTAATTATACATTCCTCTTTTCTAACTAAGATTTATTTTTTATTATTATCCCTTGAAAGTATTGACTTTGAGTAATCACTTTAAACACTTTTTGTGCAAGGGTCACAAATATTTATTTGTTTTAGAGATCATCTGAAGCTTACTTATAGTAATGAAAGTAATAAGTCTATACTTTTTTTATGTTACTAAAAAATCTCAGCCTTTAATGAACTGATTTTATTTTAAAATTCGTAAAAAAATAAAGAGTTTTATTTTGTTTAACATGTTTGTCTCTAGAGTTTATGTTTCGGTAAAAATTCAGTATAGCCCTCAAGATAAAAAAATAACACTACCCTTTCTTCTACAAAAAGTGTCTAACCTTTAAAAATAGCTCTTTTCGTCATCTCTAAAAAGTATTTATAAATTTTAAATGATTTGAGTATAATAATAATTCTTGATTAATACTATTTATAATACTTAATGTTGATAAAAAAAAAACCGATTAAGTTATACAATAAATGTTTGTAACAGCATAATTTAGTGGTGTTGTTAAAGACTTGTAACTGACTCTTTTTAAAATAGAAACAAATCTTAAATAAAAAAAAAATTGTATTTCCTTCCGAAAAAAATTTCTGGATATACCACGGAATTGTTTATATATTGCTTAAACTAATGTATTTCGTATGCGATGTTTTTAAATATAGTTCTACAATATGTATTTATACTGTGACCGACCCCAAATAGTTGGGATTAAGGCGAGAAAAAAAAAAGAAGAAGACTGTGGTAGATTCAAATATAAATAAAAATGTAAATTTATATATGAAGAGCAGTTTCTGTGGGTAACATTTTAATTAGTGATGAAATTCTATAATATTGTATTATACATGTGCATAATTCGTATTATACAAAACAATAAACTACAAGTAATATAAAATAAAAAAAAATTATGTATTATAATTAGAAAAATATAAAATTAAATTAAAAATGTAACCACATTAATTATTAAACTAANTGTCCAAAAAACAAATAAGAAAAAGTTTAAAATTTTAGCTTTGTCCGTCACTATGATTTCTTTTTACTCAGAAGAATGACATAAAATACATTTTTTAATATACTGACATGAAAAAAGTTTTGTGTTCAAATTTTGAGATAATTAAGTACCAATTCCTCATTTTAAATTCTAAAAAAAATTAGAATTAGTAGTAAATACTTTTTCTTATTAGATCAGCGTTTAAGAATTTATATATTTATTTTTATTCTCGATCATAAAGTGTAATTATATTATTGTTTTATAAGCCTTTTGAATTCTCAAAGATCATATAATATCATTAAGAACCGTTTACAATATTAAGACTAATAATTGAATTTGCTGATATTTAAAAATTTATTTTTGTAAATTTTATACATTTATTTTTAGTTTTATTGTAGTATGGTAAAATTATAATGTAATTTAATAACTTGTTTTTTTTTTCAAAATAATGTAGGTGCTTAAAACATGAATTGTATATTTAATATTACTATAATACATGATTTAACTTTTATATTAAATATTTACTAAATTAACAATTTATGTTTTGTGTGACCGTGAAAAATCAATCAATAATTTTGTTTATATTAAAATATCTACTTATCATAATTTGCAAAATAGTATATTTATTTTACTAAGTAAACAAAATAAACACTTTTTTTTTTTGAGCGAAAAATTTAATTATTTTCTTTGAATGACAGAGTTATAAGTAATAAAATTTTAAGTGGTNCTTTGAATGACAGAGTTATAAGTAATAAAATTTTAAGTGGTGTCCCAATGTCGAAAGTTCATGGGGTGTGTCTATGGTATTTGTGTGTACATTTTTCATTCGACCCTCAACAAAGGCGCATGTCTGTATGTGGTATAAGTTTTGAAAATCGATAGAGCCCCCGAGCCCGGGTTTAGGCACGGTCAAGGTCTTCCAACTCTCCTCTTACCTACATTCAATAATAACTGTCCTCTACCTCTTTTTGCTAGTTTTTTCCTTTTAACAACAAAATGCTTATTGAGTTATTTCTTTTGATTATAATGTAACTGTATAATCAAATATAATGATTTGCTGAAGCATGAAATGGAGTTTTTATGGTTAAAAAAAAAAGCATAATTAAATAAAATTTAAAGTCCTAAAAACCTTTAATCAATTTTTTAGTATAAATAATAATAATACTTTTTTTAACTGATCATTTATAAAACTATTATATTACTGAACACCCTGTATACAGAAAACATGTTGCTTTTTACTGTATTTAAAATGAATTAAAATTATAACATTTAAAATTTAGAAATGTTTGCTAGAAAAACTCTTTGGCGTAAAAGTAAAGTAATATTTTATTAATATAAAAATAATATTTTGTCATGCTTAAAGTCTCATTCTTAGACTACTTTCGTTGTACCTAAAGTCAGATCTAGCTGAGGATGCTAAAGTAGCTATAGTACCTTTTTGAGACGTATGATCATATCAAAAAGCCGTTATGATCCAAAAAAAGGAAAAAAAAAAACTTTTATCATGGCGCACATCATAGAAAAATTCTATTAATGTATAACTCTATTTTTTGTCTATATTTAGTTGTTAAATATAATTTATTTGAATTTTTTTTTCTATTAATTGCAGAAAATAGTATTAATTTTATTTTTTAAGTAATTGAATATATGTAGTTGGTTTAGTTAAATCAAACAAGAACAAGTATTTTCATAGGTAAATCTTAAAGAAATTTGAATTATTAATTTTATTTTTATAAAGTAACAGTAATGCTCTTTGTGTCATAGATCTAGAGGAAATCCAAAATTTTAACTATTTAATGAGAAATATTTTTTTGCTTTTTTTATAAAACGGACAATCATTTTATGATTATAAGTTAAAAAAAATGTTTACTATAAATTATAAATATAATTTTAAACTAATGCATCATAAAATGATAATGTTTAGAAGAAAGTGAAGAAATAAAAGAATGATAAACGATGAAGTATAAATA